CGCATTCAAAGGTTTTGACTCAAGTAGAAATAAAGATACTCGTAATTAACATTACTATATACGAAGACTAATTTTCTTATTATCTCCATAAAATACTCTCTAAGAAAACAGTATCGTAAATTAGTAGCACCAAAATATATTATGCACCAAGTGGCTAAATATAATATGCAGCAGTATATATATATATATATATATATATATATATATATATATATATATATATATATATATATATATATATATATATATATAACGCTATACTGCTGCATATTACACTGAGGAGTTTAATCAAGTATGTGTGCTACTGGCATAAACTCCGCAATCATAGTAAACATTCGAATTGATTTAAGGTCGGGGTTAATAGGTAAGTAAACGTTGTTAAATTGACTTGCTTTAATGAACGTGTGTCGTGTATTCCGTGCCCATTAAAATTAATGAGTCGATTGGGACAATTGCGTCGATAATATTTAAAACATCGACATCGAAACCATAGAAATTCTGCATCATCCCAATCTTTACGTCCCAAAAAAATATATTGTTTATTTTTCATTTCTTTCTTCTAATAGTGCTCTGAGCTTAGATTATCCTATTACTACGGTGCAGGTCTTTGGTTCGAATATTTATAGAATGCAGTTGTTTGTAGTTTAATAAGTGGTAGTTCTCCTTTCGAAGGGTACAAGCTACCTGAAGGGTACATAGAGCCAGTATAATTACATGTTATGAGGAATTATATCTTATTCCCCATAACTCATAACGCAACTCTAGCCGTCGTTGTTCAAAACTGGTTGAAAGTATCAATGGGCTGCAGTGAACATTCACCGTCAAGTGGCCTGTAAGTTTGTTTGTAAATTCATTTCTATAAATAAAAAAGGCAAAATTTGTTCAAAAACACCAATTGTTAGTTTTTATGCTTATTTGTAGTGTTTGTCTTTGCTATACGTGGTAGAGCCATGCTGCAGTTATATTAGTAGTATAGTTGTAGCACGAATGGATCGGCACAACCGTAGACCGTAGAGAACCGGAGACCCTTTTTACTGGAAACGAGGCATTCCATCTTAGTCCAAACGGGTGACAACGCATCTGGATTTTGATTCGTAATCGAGGATAGATGTAGATATTTAAAGGCCACAGTAACCACTTACAATCAGGTGGACTGTGTGCTCGTTAGTCACCCTATCCCATACAAAAAAAAGACATGAATATTATTTACGTTGGTATAAGATGTGCAATATAAAAAAACAGTTTGACCCCCAAGCCGGTCTCTTAAAGTGACTGCAAAACAGCTTCGTAGTGGAGAGGTTGGTAGTGTGGTGATGCGCTCCCACCTCTACAGTACTTATACTTACTACTTCCTACTTGCTACTTACACTTTCAAATTGTTGTATACTTGCTATATAAAACAAGTTGCAGCTTAAATTATCTCTTTTGACCTATACGTGATAAGGCTCGATTGAACTCAAATATTTCCATAAAACAATAGTTCTAAAATCAATAAACAGAAGAATCTCCTAACACATCACGACGACGACGGTTTCATATTTGTCAAGTAATTAGTAATTATTATGAATCAGAGACGAAACTTATCAATCGTTATTAAAAGGTACTGAAGATTGAAGAACGTCTGGTTGGTGTCAATAATATAGCTATTTGTGCAGGCAAGCAGCTGTGCATGGTGAATTTAGAGAGCCGAGAGAGAGAGGCCGTCACCAGAAGTGATAACGTATCTGCATTTTTATTCTAAATCGTGGATAGATGTAGATGTTTTTTTGTCAAAGCATACACTTACCACCAAGTGGACTGTGAGCTCGTTTGACAACCTAATTCTATAAAAAAAAAACTCAGGTTTCAATAGCCTTTTTACCGTTAGATAAGGCCGTTAACTCGTTTTTCATTAGTGATAAATTAAATTTCAGATTGTAACCAAAATGTCAGTACCTTAGTCTAAATCGCGTATATAATACTTTACTTTCCTTTTCCTTGCTCCATTTCTGTATATCACTCGCTCGCTTGCTTTGAATATAAACACGGTTAAAAGTAACTTTTATTCTTAATTACTCCTAAAAGACGTAAGGCTTTTTTTGAGAGAGAATTCACGTAAACATAAAACCTCTTTTGATATAACGTATAAAAAACTAAGCTAAATAGCTTATTTATACTCATTAAAAAGCTTTCTGTATTTATATATATTTAAATATTATGATTCATTTTTACCATCCCATTAAATTACACTTTAGTACATGGATCTCTTTCATTATTAAGTTTACTTAATCGCCATGAATAGGATGCAGATTGACGACCGTAGTACTAAATATCTCGCACCTTTGTTGCTAATGCCCGTCATTGATCAGAATTTTTTACACCTAGAGTGATCGAGATACTGTACCGCCATCTATCTAGGGCCATAAGATTTTTCTGGCATTTTTCAAAGCAGCGTCATACGACTAAATTTTGTGATGTATTCTCTTACGCCGCCACCGTATGGATGAAGTCTAATCAGCCCTTAAACATGGGAGACGACAATTGCTGCGAACCGCGTCAAAATCGGTTAATGCATTGATTGAGAAATCGATGACGAAAAATTTTGGAAAAAGTGTTTTTTTACATGACTTGAATAAATAATAATAAAATATTTTTTATTCAATATAGATTACAAGTAATTCTTATTGAAAGTCTATATTTTACGCTACCACTGGTTCGAAAAAAAACCTCTGTCCAGGGAAAAATCAGCAAGAAACCCAGCGGGACTTTTTTTAAAAATAAATTTTACAATTTCAAGGATCACAGAATATTTACAAAATTTATTTTAGAAACAGCTTGGAAGCGACCACCTAATTCCCAGGGATTATTATCAACCATGTATTAATTTATATCATAATAACCCTTTTTATACAGTTTTTGTTTAATTAAATATTTAAACTTGAAAACTTGAAACTTGAATTTATAGTCTAATCGTTTTTTTTAAATAGATATTATTATTTTTCTTAAAATACCTCGTCAGTTGCCTCCAATTACATCAAAATCGGTTGAACCGCTCTAAAGTTATTGTTGTCAAAATTCAAAAGTGTTTTTTTTTTAATAACTTTTAATAATAATTTTCTGCTTGGATCGTTTTTGATGTAATGCGCTAACTATTAGTTCGTAAAAATATTTGTGGAGCGTTTTGAGATCGAAAACTGAAAGAACGCAGAAACTTCCAGGGATGGGCTGCAGGATGAACATTTTTTTTTAAGTTTTGTTATTTAGTTTTTACTGGCAAATCATTTGATTTAATTTCTTTATAAATTTGTCGTACTAAATTACTTACATTATTTTAGCTTGTAACATTAATAAACATTTCTGTAATATGATTAAAAAATCATACCCAGTGGGCTACTTCGCTTTTATGTGTCTTAATAAATTACAATCTAATTAGTCTGAGCTTTGCTGACCTTGTTTCAGGATCTTTATAATTTGTAAAGAAAGAAAAACTCTAAATCATATTAAAGTTATACTGTTTCAAAATAAATTCTAAGAATGATGTTTAAATTTTGTTTAATCAGAATGAATATTTAAGTTATTAAATAAATACGATTATTTTATCTGAAATACCTGAAATACTGTATGCCTTGATAATACATAATATAACATAACCAAAACATATACATATATAACATATAAAGGTCAACGCACATATGTCACCAACGTACGCGCCGCACGCACCGAACGCGCCGCATTTCTTGATAGCCTCGCAAATTCGCGCAGTACGCGTCGTACGCGCCGTACGTGCCGTAAGCAAATCTTTGGTATTGCAAACAATTTTTACTGTTTTTTACCTTTGGTGTGAAACGGTACAGTGAGTGGTATTGTGACATTGAGCTATGGAAGAAATTGTTGTAATAGCCTGCTTATTGGCAGAGGAAGAAGAAAATGAAATTCGAAGAAATACAAAATTCTGGATTCACAACATTAATTTTTAAAGGCACTTGTATGGAGAATATCATACGTTATTTCCAGACTTGGTAGATGATGATCAACGATTTTTCAGATATTTGCATTTGACATACAAGAAATTTCAAGAATTACTACATATTCTAAAACCACATTTTCCTATACAAAATTCAATATTTAGAAGGGTCTTCGGACCAGAGGAAAGACTTGTTGTATGTTTAAGGTATTATTTATTGATAAGTTTTATTGAGAAGTTAGTACTCAGGTATAATTTAGAAAAGAATACGAATCAGCAAGTAGTGATTTTAAAACTTATTTAAATACTACGTATTTCTTTAGTTATTCATCCACCTCACAGCTATAATTATCATAGGATGAATTGAGAACCTGGTCGTTTAATATCGTTATCTGATGTGTAGGAAGTATTGGTCTCATTACTTGACGCGGAATCGTCAGAGTAATATTTGAATGCAGAATCTCTTCGTTCGTAATACGAGACTCTTCGTTCGTAATACGAGACTCTTCATTTGTCATAGTCGAAGTTTTCGGTGTAATACTTGAATGTACAGTCTCTGTATTTGTAGATGAGATACTCCGGATGTGACAGTCGATGTGGTCGGTGCAATACCTGGTCGTTCAGTTTTAGCATTTGTAAAATGAGACACTGCAGGTGTGATAGCTGAGGTGGTCGGTGAAATATATGAAGTTTGTTGTCGAAAGCAAATTTCTTTATTGGTGAAATGAGGCTGTCCAGATATAGTGGATTCAACGATTGTAGTATTTTGTACTGGATTTAGCGGCAAGGTAAAAGAGGTCCATTACAGGGGAGTGAACCGTTTCAATAGGTACAGAAGTAGCATCCTTTTCATTTAGCGTTTCCAGTTCTGCATTATGCACTAATTGAAAGAGTTTACCTTTGACGTACAGTTGTTTCTTTTCATCAAGTCGTTGTACAGTTCTAGTCATACTCATAAAAAAATCTATTAAAGTTTCTTGGTTAACATTAATATTACTTTGCGCAGAAGTATGTAACTGGTGTTTTTGTTCGACCAAATAGTCTTTTAGTACTGTTGCTACACTAGTGGTAGGATTGCCTGTGGATTTGTGCGATGACGTACGACTACTGGGCGAATCGGAGTGTATCTCGGCAACGGCGATTCTGAATGTCGGGAATCATCTCCAGATTCTGAATGTGGAGAAACAAATGAAGAGGGTGTTTCTCGTGCTGGTACTGATATATTTGAAACTCTATGTTCTTTATCGTTTATATAGGGAAAGAGGAAGCTTAGCTCTTTGTTATATTTAGGCGATTTTATTTTGTTAGCGGCTTGACCACTTTTGGTCTTTCTTAAACTCAACGCCTTTCTATAGTTTTCTCGTATTCTAGTCCATCTTTCTCTACATACTGACCCTGTGAACAAAATATAATAAATCGAGTAAATTGAAAATAAAATATACCTACTATAAAATGTTTCTTTTCAGGTTTTTAGCGATCGAAAATTCTTTTACATCACTGTCGGATAATTTCCGTATGGGCGAGAGCACAATTTGTGCAATAATTTATTCAATATGTAAAGTTATGTATCAAACATTACAACCGATTGTAATGTCTACGCCAGATGAAAATTTGTGGACGTCGTCAGAAATAAATTTCCGCAATAAGTGAAATTTTCCAAATGCTGTTGCAGCTCTTGACGGTAAACATATATTACTTCAAGCTCCGGCGTACAGTGGCTCTATGTATTATTGCTATAAAAACACTTTAGTACAGTGTTACTGGCACTGGTAGACGCAAATTACAAATTTATTGCCGTAGACGTTGGCGCTTGTGGTAAGAATTCAGATGCCAATATATTCAAAAATTCTAATTTGGGAAAGCGTCTAAGCGAGGAAAGTTTAAACTTGCCTTCACCAAAAGCACTTCCAGGAGGAAACACAGTCCTACCACATGTAATCATTGCAGACGAAGCATTTGGCTTAAGTACGTATTTAATAAGACCTTATTCACGTGACGACGCCAGAGGAGATGAAGGAAAAAAATATTTAACTACCGCCTGAGCCGAGCACGAAATACAGTTGAAGATACATTTGGTATATTAGTGAAAAAATTCAGATTATTTGAACGGAGATTACTTATAAGTCACGATCATTATCTCACAGTTGTAACGGCAATATGTTGCCTACATAACGTTTTACGCGATGATACATGCTATTGGTCAGAAAGAGATCAAATAGTGACGTTAAGCGACATGAATGCCTTGGAAAATTTCAGAGGTATTGAAGGACATTCAACTTCTGACGCGTTGGCAGTAAGAAATTCCTTTAAAGAATATTTTTATTCCGAAAGTGGAGCAGTTCCGTGGCAAAGAAGTAGAGTACGTGCTGAAAGACGGCAACAGTAATTTTATAAACAAAATAACTTGCCAAGTACGACTCGGATACGCTCATAGAGGATTTCGTACTAAGTACCACGAGCCCGACAGGTATACTTGGCCAATTTTTATTATTTACTGTTGCAATTGTAAACCAAAAATACCTTTACTACTTCAGGGTTCCCTACGTTACTTCGGAAGTAATTTGATCGATTTTCATTTCACCGACCACCGCATTGATCGATTGCTCCACTGACCGATGCATTATTTCAACAAAGATTTAATTGCCCGATGTAACGATTCATCGAATAACCGATACCAGTCACTGGTATATCTGTTAACTAAATATTCGTTGAAATATTACTTCGACTAAATAATACGTCAGTCAAATATACCGTCGCTAAAATAAACTTCGGTAACGGTAATAGGTTTTTCGATGAATCGTTACATGGGGCAATTAAAACCTGGTTGAAATAATGCATCGTTCAAAGGAGCAATCGATCAATGGTGGTTGGTGAAATGAAAATCGATCAAATGACTTCCGAAGTTACGTAGGGAACCCTTACTTGCATAAGTACCCACCTACTACCAACCTACTTTACATACCGTTCACAGGTATATTACCTCTGGCTCTGAAGTTATAGTATGGATTTCAATGGCTATCCTAGCTTTAGATCCCCTACCTGCAGGAGTATTACAAACTCTTATTACCTGGCAGATTCCGGTCAGCCCAGCAACTAATCCCTTTTTTGCTTATATACTAGCTAAAAAGAGTTGGCTTGCTGGGCTGGCCGGAATCTGCCAGGTAATAAGAGTTTGTAATACGCCTTCTGTGCTTCCGTACAGAAAGGATATGTCATTCTATTAAAAATAGCCCCAAAAATTGTAAAACTACCGATTGCACAAAAAATAATTTTAGGCAAATTGTCAGAGGTAAAATTGCTATGAAAGATTTCAGCTCGTAAATTGATAAGTGACCGCAGAAAACAAAAATAAGGTATCGCGGGGAATCACGCAAGGACCGGGGCACAACATGGTGCGCAGCTATAACGGTCACTTAACAACTTACGTGTCGCGACCTGTACGTAGGTCTTAAAATTGTTTTGAAATAAAAATGATTATTACTCACCAGTATCATTCACTTCTTCCCCAATTTCTTCCCATATGTTGTCCCGTCTCTGCTGGTTCATATAGTGGGGATGTCGCAAATTATACAACTCCTCATATTGTTGTACAAACGATATTAAAGCCATTTCGTCCATTGGTTCGCTCGTGTACCGTTCGGTACGTGCAAGTCGCTCAGCTCTACGGGCCCGAACGGCAGGCATGCACAGTGTTGCCAGATCTTAAAATCAGTTTTCTGAAATTTTTATTGCCAAATTCCGTGTGAAAACCGTATAGGAAGTTTCTAATAAAATCCATATAGTAATAATAATAATAATAATCTTTATTGCATCTTTAAGTTAAAGTACACTCGATAACAACAGTATAACAAAATGAAGCTTACAGTTAAGTACTTCTACAATTTATATGAAGCTATATATGAATTCCGTACCAAAAAATTTAAACTCTTCTTATATTTAATTGATATAATTTCGATTTAGAGCATTTTTATATGAACAATTTTATGAGAACATGTCACGGAAAGAAAAAATCTTGATAAAATATTTTTGTTTTGCTTGCACTAATAATAAATTTATATCACTGTATCAATTTATTAACTGTCTTTTTCTCTCATTGTTACATCTAGCAACTAATACATCTAGCAGCACGGAACCGCACTTTCCTATGCTTCTCTATCCTTTTCTGTCACCCAGAATCGTCATTCACTCTAGCGAGAAACGAGAACGAGAATGCGACCGCACGTCGGCGGAATTGACGGGGTGGTCACCTTCCCGCTACGTTTCTAGACGTAGCTCAACCCTTTAACGACCAACCAAAATATCTCAAGGGTATTTGAAAAAAAATACAAATTGCTAGTTTTTTTTTATAGAATAGGGTGACAAACGAGCACACAGTCCACCTGATGGTAAGTGGTTGCTGCGGCCCATAGACATCTACATCTATCCTCCATTAAAAATCAAAATGCAGATGCGTTGTCACCCGTGAGGACTGAGATGGAATGCCTCGTTTCCAGTAAAAAGGGTCTCCGGTTCTCTACACTCACCATACGAAATACAGCAGCATTAAGCTACTATTTCACGCTGGTATTCTGTGAGAGCGTGGTCCTTCCCCGGTCGAGCCGACCCATTCGTGCTACAACTATACTACTAATATAACTGCAGCATGGCTCTACCACGTAAAAAAAAGTTTATGAAAGATCAAATCATTTTTAACGTTCCGTTTTATTTAAATTCATTTTCTAAGAATATTAAGAAACTACTCTGCATTTGCCTGTTAATTCCGTATACAAATCTGTGTGCATGTATTGTCCGGTTTGAACACTAAAACTCCGTATAGATACGGACAAATCCGTATATATGGCAACACTGGGCACGCATGCGGCTACACCGAGTACCAGCACGTGCCGTACGCGCTGCATATATGACGTCATCAGAATGCTTTCTTCAAAACTCGTATGCCTACAGCATTTTATGAAACGCGGCGCGTACGGTGTGGGTCAAATGTGCGTGGTTTCTCATGATTGCATACAACGAATTCTAAAATGCGGCACGTTCGGTGCGTGCGGCGCGTACGTTGCTGACATATGTGCGTTCACCTTAACATAACTAAATAATGTTTATATTCTAATTCACTTATAAAAACAATTTCAGCCTATCATAAGTCTGCTGCTAAGCGTAGACCTCCCCTGTAAATAGTTTCATAGAGGGAAATTTACATTATGTGCCACGCTTGGCAGGCCAGCTGGCAACCTTAATCTGTTATAATTAATAAGGGGATACTTCTATTATTTTTTTTGTTTGGTTGACAGACTGTACAGTAAAATATACTTTACTTATCGAAAAACCATCCAACTAGTTCATCCTTGACGTCAATGTGCTTTGTAGGATAGCTACTACACATAATTATAAGCAATTAGTTCTACTGTTTGGAATATCTACTAGTCCTTTTGAGAGACAGCAACGTATTTTCTTTTCAAGGTTGCACTTAACTGCTATTGGGTTTGTGATTGGACATGAAACTTTGGATCTTATATCTATAATTTTGTTATGATTGAATATGAGAATGTGAGCCAAATAAAACAATATTTTTTCATCGGAAAACAGTGATTCATAAATGTTAGTAAAAAAAAAAGATTTATTCATCTATTTTAGTACTTAGTCACTAATTTTGTTAAAGTAATTTGACACATATGCCCTCTAAGCAGCTACTTAGACCAGAAACATTATTTTAGATCTAAGAGAAAAATCTCAGATAGACGAGGTAATTCCATAATATGTCATATCATTAGCATTATCATTATTACCACTTTTCAAAATTCACTGCTGAT